AAAAAAAAAAAAAAAAAAAAAAAGTGACAGGAGAGAAAGCCCAGAGATAAACCCACACACATATGGTCACCTTATCTTTGATAAAGGAGGCAAGAATATAGAGTGGAGAAAAGACAGCCTCTTCAATAAGTGGTGCTGGTAAAACTGGACAGGTACATGTAAAAGTATGAAATCAGAACACTCCCTAACACCATACACAAAAATAAACTCAAAATGGATTAAAGACCTAAATGTAAGGCCAGACACTATCAAACTCTTAGAGGAAAACATAGGCAGAACACTCTATGACATAAATCACAGCAAGATCCTTTATGACCCACCTCCTAGAGAAATGGAAATAAAAGCAAAAATAAACAAATGGGACCTAATGAAACTTCAAAGCTTTTGCACAGCAAAGGAAACCATAAACAAGACCAAAATACAACCCTCAGAATGGGAGAAAATATTTGTAAATGAAGCAACTGACAAAGCCAAACTTTACAAGCAGCTCATGCAGCTCAATATCAGAAAAACAAACAACCCAATCCAAAAATGAGCTGAAGACCTAAATAGACATTTCTCCAAAGAAGATATACAGACTGCCAACAAACACATGAAAAGATGCTCAACATCACTAATAATTAGAGAAATGCAAGTCAAAACTACAATGAGGTATCACCACACACCGGTCAGAATGGCCATCATCAAAAAACTACAAGCAATAAATGCTGGAGAGGATGTGGAGAAAAGGGAACCCTCATACACTGTTGGTGGGAATGTAAATTGATACAACCGATATGGAGAACAGTATGGAGGTCCCTTAAAAAACTAAAAATAGAACTATCATATGACCCAGTAATCCCACTACTGGGCATATATCCTGAGAAAACCATAATTCAAAAAGAGTCATGTACCAAAATGTTCATTGCAGCTCTATTTACAATAGCCAGGACATGGAAGCAACCTAAGTGTCCATCAACAGATGAATGGATAAAGAAGATGTGGCACATATATACAATGGAATATTACTCAGCCATAAAAAGAAATGAAATTGAGATATTTGTAGTGAGGTGGATGGACCTAGAGTCTGTCCTACAGAGTGAAGTAAGTCAGAAAGAGAAAAACAAATACCATATGCCAAAACATATATATGGAGTCTAAGAAAAAAGAAAAAAAAAAGGTCAGGAAGAACCTAGGGGCAAGACGGGAATAAAGACACAGATCTACTAGAGAATGGACTTGAGGATATGGGGAGGGGGAAGGGTAAGCTGTGACAAAGTGAGAGAGTGGCATGGACACGTATACACTACCAAACGTAAAATAGATAGCTAGTGGGAAGCAGCCGCATAGCACAGGGAGATCAGCTTGATGCTTTGTGACCACCTAGAGGGGTGGGATAGGGAGGGAGGGAGACGCAAGAGGGAAGACATAATGGGAACATATGTATATGTATAACTGATTCACTTTGTTATAAAGCAGAAACTAACACACCATTGTAAAGCAATTATACTCCAATAAAGATGTTATAAAAAAATGCAATATAACTCCAACAAGCCTATTTATATCCTTCCCATCCAATTCAGTGCTCCCTAGAATCAGACAGTGACCACACAGTGCAAGAGGCAGGAGCAAAATCCATCTTTGCATTCCACTAGGGTTACTATCCTACTACTGCTTCATGTGTAGCTTCTCAGGGAGACTGCTGACTCACCATGGGACATCTCTATCTTATCCCAGGCCTAGGACTGTGCAGAGGAGTAAAAAGGTCTGATCAATAAGTATTCACAGATCTGACTTGATCATTAAAGGGAAGGACACTGCCCCTATGCAAAGCTCCACTTCACATAAGACCCTCATGCATTATGAAGCGAGAAACACGGACCTCCCTGCCTTGGAAATCTATTTAAAAGTGGTGATTATATTGTGCATGATGCATACTGAATTCCTCTGTGGTCGAAATTAATACCTAGAAGATGTTCTAATGCTATGAGCAGAACATCCTGGGAGAAACTGAGATTGACAAAACGTCTTACTTGTTCCAAGAAGAGATGATAAAAATCCTTGGGGAAAAAACCAGCTAGTGGCTCTATAATTAAACTCAGTGCAGCACCGAAGCCTTCTGGAGTGCTGGCAAGTCTAGAATCAGGATAGTCACCTGCTGGGATGGCCAAATAAATCACACCCGAATGGAGGCAGAAAGATCAGGGTAGCTGGGTTTGAAACATCAGAGGAAAGAAGACAGATGCTCAGCTATGGCTTCAGATTATGTGGGCTGCTTCTGCGGCCCCTGATCCACTTATCTTCACTTATGCGAGCTACCACCCGACTCTTCTCTCTTGAAAGAGCAGGAACATTTGGAAATTTAAAAGCAGGCATCAGAGGGAAAGAGAAAGACTTTCAGAAAACAAAAGCCCATTTCAGGGCTACCACTTGGCTGGCCATACAACAAACCTAGTCCCCAAAGCCCTGCTGATCAGGGTGTCCTGTGCGAAACACTGATACTCCTGAAAAGATGTTTTTCTCAATTTTCTCAGTCTGTCCTTGTACAATGCCTCACTGATCAGAGCTCTAATACCAGACTGGCTTGAAAGGTGATTCTGATCCCTAGGGCATTGGACACGCTTCTCAGAATCTGCTCACGGCAGCTCTCCGCAATGAAACTGTAATCTTCCGAAAAGAACTGCTGCTTAAGACACACCCTGTGACATCTACCTTTTTAGGAAGCATTTCAGTATGTCTCAGTGCTTCTCTACAATACAGCAACCGTGACTTCGGGAAAATGAGATACAGAAGGGTTCCCAAGCATCCCGGGCCCACGGTGAGAGGCTCCATCTGCACCTGCACGTGGAGCAGGTGACAGCCATTGGGACAGGCACAGCAGAAGCTGGGAACCAGGCAGGTTTGCCCTCCTCTTTCTCCGTCTATTTAGAATGGTTCAAGGTCAATGGACTGGATGCTTGACCATTCTGGGCTCAGATCTCCGGGGAGAAATGGCACCATCAGTCAGGGGATCAGCCAATCCATGCAGCATCCATTTCCATCGGAATGACTCACCCAAAGCAAAAAGCTCTTGCAGCATCCTACTTCCCCATAGTGCCAGTTCAGTATTAGAAAGCTCACACACATCTTTTGCTCTTCATGACAATCCTGGCAGAAATGACTATTCTTATTTCCCAGAAAGGGGAACTGAGGCAGTGAGAAGCTGTGATCTGTCCAAGGCCGTAGAGCTGGGACACAGCAGATCACCTCTATCCTCTGGGCCCCACTGGCTTCCTGGTAACCTCTCCTCATTTATAAATGCCTCACAGTCTCAGCGCTTAGTCCTCCTTTTCATTCAAAAACTTTTCACTGGGTTTTGATCGTACGCCAGGCATTGTGCCAGGGGCTTGGAGTAAAATGAAGAACTGGACAGTTGCTACCCTCAGAGCTTACAATGTAGGGAGATCACAGTACAGGTAAACAGACAACTATAACACAATGGGAGAAGAATTAGGACAGGATCCTCACGAGACTCCAGGGCAGCAGAGAGGAGGGCCACTGACCTAGACTTGAAGTTGCTGCGGCTGAGACATCAGAGAAGTTTCTCAAACAGAGTGACGCCCAGGCTGCGTCCTCCTCACTGAGAAGGAATAAGGTAGAGGTGGGGCTAGAGCCTGAGTGGCCCTGACTGTACCTGAAGGTTTCCTTTTTATCATAAGAACTAAAGGAAGCCTTTGAGCCTTCTCAATGGGGAAGTGCATGACTGCACTACGGGTTAGATGGCTCACGCGGGTAACAGGAGGAGAACAGATGTGGAGAGAGAGTCAGACCCAGGCAGGGAAACCAGCCAAAAGGCTTACTGGGCAGCCAAGGAGGGATGGTGCTAGGCTAGGGGCTGGTGGCAAGTGAGAGCTAAAGTGAAATGGGCTGGGGCTTCCCTGGTGGCACAGTGGTTAAGAATCCGCCTGCCAGTGCAGGGGACATGGGTTCGAGCCCTGGTCTGTGAAGATCCCACATCCCATGGAGCAACTAAGCCCGTGCGCCACAACTACTGAGCCTGTGCTCTGGAGCCCGCGAGCCACAACTACTGAGCCCGCGTGCCGCAACTACGGAAGCCCATGCGCGTAGAGCCCGTGCTCCGCAGCAAGAGGAGCCACCGCAGTGAGAAGCCCGCGCACCGCAATGAAGAGTAGCCCCCCGCTCGCCACACCCAGAGAAAGCCTGCCTGCAGCAACGAAGACCCAACGCAGCCAAAAATAAATAAATAAAATATTTTTTTTTTTAAAAAGTGAAGTGGGCTGATTTAAGAGATAGGGAGGAGGAAATAATCACATTCTGACCCTCATTAATTTTTTTAAAAACCCAGTGCTCCCAGGCTTCCATCCTCCCCAACATACCAACAGTTGGGCAGGTTGAGGGTTATGCTCCCTTGGATTCTAGCTCCAAATTGCAGGTACCCCAGACACGCCAGGCTGATGTAGAGGACAGTGATGATAGCCATTCCCACATAGAGGATGAGCGAGAACTTCCGGGGATCCTTCATTTTGTTTTCAAGGGGCAGAACCTAGGAGAGTAGTGAGAGAAGAGAAAGCATAGAAAAAAGCAACTTTAATGGCCAATGACAACAACAAAGTAATATTCTCAGAAAAAAGTAACTTCTCTATCCCCAAATTCCCCCAAAGCACATCTGTCCTTGACTAGACAGACAAATGCAAGCTGTTCCTCATTAGTTATGCTTGCCAAGCTGGAGGAGCTCTGGAGCCTGCTGTCTAAGCAGGAAGTCCCGGGAGGTAAGGGCGGGCAGGCCCGGAAGCCAGGACTCCTGGCACAGGCTGGCTCTTTGCCTTCGGCTACAAGATCGCTGTGGGCTGGGAGTGCTGTTTACTCCTCAAATGCAGGTGGCATGGCACCCAGCAGGCCCTCTTGCATCATGCCCACCCAGCGCAACAAGGAAGAGACATAGGTGGTGGCCCAAGCCAGCTGTACCTCACCTGAAATCACAGCTCTACTAACCTGTCCCAAGAATGCAAAATGCAGGTCAGGGAAAACTGCCACTCCAGTTCCCAGAAACCGTCTCCTTACCTCAAAAGGGGTGGGCACTAGCAGTGACAAGTGAAATCTCCAAGTTAGAGAAACCGAGAGGACCCTGGAGATTGAGGCTCGTGGAGATGTATAACAAAACCCAGTTTCCAGACTCCTGTTTCAAACCACTGATCCTCACGGCCTTCTCCCTCATAGCAGAGGACTTTATTTATTTATTTTTATTATTAAATTTATTTATTTTATTTTTGCTTGCGTTGGGTCCTTACTGCTGCACGCGGGCTCTCCCCAGCCATGGCATGCGGGCCTCTCATTGTGGTGGCCTCCCCTGTTGTGGAGCACGGGCTCCAAGTGCATAGGCTACAGTAGCTGTGGCATGCAGGCTCAGTAGCTGTGGCTCGCGGGCTCTAGAGCGCAGGCTCAGTAGCTGTGGTGCCCGGGCCTAGTTGCTCCACAGCATGTGGAATCCTCCCGAACCAGGGCTCAAACCCGTGTCCCCTGAATTGGTAGGCGGACTCCCAACCACTGCACCACCAGGGAAGCCCAGGACTTTCTTTAACATTAGCCAAAGCCAAGGAAAGGCCCCCCCTTTTTTTTAACACTTAAAATTTTTATTATGAAAATTTTCTTTTAAAACATTTAAGTATAGTTGACTTACAGTGTTGTGTTTAATTTCTGCTGCACAGCAAAGTAACTCAGTCATACATATATACATTCTTTTTCATATTCTTCTCCATTATGATTTATCACAGGATATTGAATAGAGTTCCCTGTGCTATACAGTAGGACCTTGTTGTTTATCCATCCTGTATGTAATAGTTTGCATTTGCTAATCCCAAGCTCTCAATCCTTCCCTACCCCTGACCCCCTGGCAACCACAAGTCTGTTCTCTCTATTTGTGAGTCTGTTCTTGTTTTGTAGATACGTTTGTTTGGGTCATATTTTAGATTCTACATATAAGTGATATCAGATGATACTTGTCTTTCTCTTTCTTACTTTATTTAGTATGATAATCTCTAGTTGCATCCACATTGCTGCAAATGGCATTCTTTCATTCTTTTCAATGGCTGAGTAATATTCCATTGTGTGTGTGTGTGTGTGTGTGTGTGTATGCCACATCTTCTTTATTCATTCATCTGTCAGTGGACATTTAGGTTGCTTCCATGTCTTGGCCATTGTGAACAGTGCTGCTATGAACACAGGGGTGTTCAGATTATAGTTTTGTCTGGGTAGATGCCCAGGAATGGAATTGCTGGAATTGCTGGATCACATGGCAACTCTATTTTTAGGTTTTTGTTTCAATAAATTTATTTTTATTTATTATTTATTTAGGCTGTGCTGGGTCTTCGTTGCGGCATGTGGGCTTCTCTAGGTGCGGCGCACCGGCTCTAGAGTGCGCAAGCTCAGTAGTTGCAGCGTGTGAGCTTAGTTGCGATATGTGGGATGTTAGTTCCCCGACCAGGGATCGAATCCGCATTGGGAGCGAGGAGTCTTAACCGCTGGACTACCAGGGAAGTCCCTATTTTTAGTTTTTTGAGAAACCTCCATACTGTTAGGAAAGGCCCTTAATGAAGGCTGGTTCGTATAGGGACAGGGAAAATAGCAAGTGTGACTGTGACAACCTTCATGATCTGCTGTCAACCGCCCCTGGCTGGTCTGACTCCCAAAATGTGACTCACGGCAACATCAAACTGCCCCCCCCCCCCCCCCCCCCCACCCGTCCCAACTGTCTTTGATCTTGTCCTTATGCTCATTTTCCTTGAGGGAAATGAGGCAGAGCAGGTCTGAGCCAGACACACCCTGAGCCAGCTGCCGGCCTGGGGCTCTGGGGCGTATCACTGCTCTGTATCTCCAACTGGCCCTCAGCAACCCCACCCCCCACCCCGCCCCCCAACCCCAGCCCCCGCTGCCCGGCTCAAGGGGCTCAAGCTTCAGTTGATCTACATCCAATGAGAAACAGTTTCTAAGCTTTCCTTCGGTTTCTTTCTATGGAGAGTCTCAGGAGCCAGAGGGCAGGGTGCCCATCTCCTCCAGCCCAGCCAGCCCAGGTCAATGGTGCAGAAACAGAGAGAGCACGGGAAATCCCAGTGAGTCCACTGCTCTTACCCGTCATGCCCAACAGCCCTCAGATCCAAACTAACAGTCAAAACAGCAGTGTCTCTATTGTAAAAAGAGAAAACATGGACAAATCTTGAAGTAACAGATAATGAGGATTACAGAATCACTCTGTATCCAAGCCTCAGCTAATGAAATGAAACAAAGAACAATTTCTGCCCTGTGCTGTTAGGGGAAACTGACAAATGCAGTACAACGTTCCTAAAGAAACCCGAGCATCTTTCCGCACTCACTCAGCCTCTTCTTTCCAGTCCCGAGTGCTTGGGGCCGCTTTCTCCTGCTATAATACAGGCCCCTTCAGGCCTCTGCCCCAGCAGCAGGGAAACCATATGTGTCTGTGAATCAAGATGAGATATTCTGGGGCTTCCCTGGTGGTGCAGGGGTTAAGAATCCGCCTGCCAATGCAGGGGACATGGGTTCGAGCCCAGGTCTGGGAAGATCCCAAATGCCACGGAACAACTGAGCCCGCGCTCTAGAGCCCGCGAGCCACAACTACTGAAGCCCACGCGCCTAGAGCCCATGTTCCACAACAAGAGAAGTCACTGCAGTGAGAAGCCAGCGCACCGCAATGAAGAGTAGCCCCCGCTTGCTGCAACTAGAGAAAGCCCGCGCGCAGCAACGAAGACCCAAAGCAAAGATAAAATAAATAAATAAATTTATTAAAAAAAAAAAAGATGAGACATTCTTCTTGGGCAATGAGAAGCCCCAAGGACAACCACGTACACACAATCACCCGAAAAGCCTCCCCCATGTTGTTAGAGCCTCATGTTCCATGGACACCACCTGGGCAATTCCTCAAATTGTGACAAAAAATGTCCAGCTTCTAGGTTTTCTTAAAAGTGTATAAGGTGACAGGACAATCAAATGGGGACAAAAAGATATTCCATGAAAGAAGTGTCTTCCCATTTCCTAAGCCCTAAGCCAGCAGAGCTAATAACTTTCTTCAGAGAATACTGGACCTTTATTATGAAAAACACAAATAAAAACCAAAATAGGTACACCTGAGTGACAGATCCCTCCCTTTAGGAGAAGAATTTGGTGGAATCACAGCACCAACACGGGGAAGTTGAGCTAGGATTAAAGGCTACTCATGTATACAAGGAAAATACAGCTCAACAGTGTTCCAGGGCAGAGAATTAGTTCATATGTTTATTGATTTAACAATAAAATCAATAGTATTATTAATGAAAATGAAAAGTACTTATGCTCACCGTATGTCAGAGACCGTACAAAGCACTTTACACGTATCTCATTTAATCCTAACAACTACTAAACATTAAGCCCACTTTTCAGAAGCAAACAATGAAGGCTCTGAGCAGGCGAGTCCTTGCACAAGGTCACACAGCTACTCTCTGGCACAGCCAGGACTCACCCCAAGTCAGTCTGAATCTAGACCCTGTGTTCAGAATTGCCCTGCACTGCTGCTTACTGCACACACAGGAGATGAGTGTGCAACAGAGAGGGCTTGAAAGGAAACATTCTCAAATTACATACAACTTACTTCCAAAACCTGGAGCTGGGAAACTTCAGTGGAGTCTTTGAAACGCTATTCATTAACTGGCCAATAAGACTCAGAAGATAATTTCTAATAGCATTTCCTCAGCATTCCTTAAAGCAGACCTCAAGGACACTGAGGGCACCAGAGAATCACAGTGCAACTCTTACCATCCCGATGCCTTCAAATGCAAAAATGGCTGTGCCAAAGAAAAGAGGGTAGGTCTGCCAGGATGCCACCAAGGGGAGGAATCTGGGGTCTGGGATATCCTGAAAGAGAGAAAATAAAACAGATCAAAGGCTATATAGAGATTCATGATTTCAACCCCAGCATCAGACAGGTCAAACCTTTCCTAAGTCTGGGACAGGTGATTTGGGGTCATTTATAGCCTTTCTTTTTTTTTTTTCCATCGCTGAGAAAACCCTACTTGCTTTGGGGAAAGACTAGCCCAAAGTACCATTAAAAACTCAAATGTTGGGACTTCCCTGGTGGTGCAGTGGTTAAGAGTCCGCCTGCCAACGCAGCGGACGTGGGTTCAATCCCTGGTCTGGGAAGATCTCACATGCCACGAGCAACTAAGCCCGTGCCCCACAACTACTGAGCCTGCGCTCTCAAGCCCGCAAGCCACAACTACTGAAGCCCGTGCACCTACAGCCCCTGCTCCGCAGCAAGAAAAGCCACTGCAATGAGAAGCCCGCGCAGCACAACGAAGAGTAGCCCTCGCTCGCCGCAACTAGAGAAAGCCCACACAGCAACAAAGACCCAATGCAGCCAAAACTAAAAAAATAAATTTATTATTAAAAAAACCCTTAAATGTTAGAGACTGCATAAAAAGAATCATGTTCTTTCACTAGGTAATCCCATCCCCAGAAATATAATCTAAGTAGAAAAAAAATGATGAAAATACGAAAAAAGTTGAGCAAGGCTTTTTAACAGTAAGTGATAACAACCTAAATGCTCCCAAACATCTGAACAGGTAGTTTACTGCACATCCAATACACCACAGAATATTATGCACTATTTAAAAAGTAAAGAGTGGGATAACTAAGTAGTACATGAAAACTGCTTAAAAATAGTAATGAGAAAAATATTTTTTAAATTTATATATTCACCATGATACAACTACATAAACACTCCACACAGATAAAGCTGGAGGGAAAGGTGGTAGATTTTTAGATGAGCACTTTCTCTACTTCCCTTTCTCTCTTTTTTCAAAAATTCTGTAAATCAACACTTGGAAAATATTTTTGATAGGCACATGACAGGAGTATTGGCACATATGGGAAAAAAAATAGCAAAAACAGCATTTTAAAAAGAAGGCATATAAAAACCAAGACACTTGATAACTGCAGGTACAATGTAAGTATGTACCCACCTGGCTGACTAATGGGCAAGAGTCCCCAGTGATGGACAGTATCGAAGGAGCAGGACTCAGAGGAGACAGAAGCTGCCATCCGTTCAGAATTTGGCCTTTAGATTTAAAAATGACTTTAAAACTGCCTTTTACAATCTTTCAAAACTGATTTCCCTAAAGAGGTCTCTAGAGAGATATGGGGAATGTTCTAACAGTGTGATGGAATAATATCAGAGAGCAAAAAAGAGATCTACTATTCCTCTCTGTAACAGGCTTCTCTTTGAAAGATTTCAAAGCAATTATATTATAGTCTTCCTAAGATAAAAAGGATTTTTTAAATGCTTTCTTTTTTTTTCTTCTGAGCCCCTGCTAAGAAATCAGTTAGAGCTCTCACAAGAAGCACTTCAGGGACTTCCCTGGTGATGCAGTGGTTAAGAATCCGCCTGCCAGGGGACACAGGTTCAATCCCTGGTCCAGGAAGATCCCACATGCCGCGGAGCAACTAAGCCCGTGTGCCACACCTACTGAGCCTGTGCTCTAGAGCCTGTGCTCCACAACTACTGAAGCCTGCCTGCCCTAGAGCCCATGTGCCACAACTACTGAAGCCTGCATGCTCTAGGGCCTGCGTGCCGCAACAACTTAGCCTGCGTGCTGCAACTACTGAAGCCCGTGTGCCTACAGCCTGTGCTCCACAACAAGAGAAGCCACCGCAATGAGAAGCCCGCACACCGCAAAGGAGAGTAGCCCCTGCTTGCCACAACTAGAGAAAGCCTGCACGCAGCAATGAAGACCCAACGCAGCCAAAAAATAAAAAAGAAGCACTTCAGTTCCTAGAATGAAGACAAGACTCGTAAATATTTTTGTTTTTTGATGAAATATGAGGGTGAGATCACCCCGTAATTATCCCTGAGTCACAGTGTAACTAAAGTTCCTGAAAACAGGAGGTTAGTGGATCTGTTGGTTAATGGATGACTACTGCCCAGAGTGATATATCAGATCGGGCTGAGATATCAGAGAGGGAATTTCAAAATACATGTCTGAGGATACCGGTGTGAATGAGACCAGCAGAAGGAATTTATAATTCTACATACATAATGACTGCTACTGCCTTACACCCCAACGAATTAAACTTGGGGAAAAACTTTCATTTACAAAGAAATGTACAAATTAAAATCAGCTCACTTGCAACATATTATCTCCGCATTTGTACCACATTATCATATAATTGTAACAGCTTTTTGAAAAAAATGCTGTTAAATGTACATAAGGATTGTCAGATGTACTCCAATTTTGGAAACGTTATTAACTGTGAAAAATTACATCTCAGAATCAAGGATATCCCTGGCAGCGCAGTGGTTAGGACTCGGAGCTCTCACTGCCATGGCCCGGGTTCAGTCCCTGGTCAGGGGACCTAAGATCCCACAAGCTGTGCGATGCGGCCAAAAAAAAAAGAATTAAGGATATGCAGTGATAACACATCTATTGGATTTATTGGGAGCCCTTCTGGGCAAGGCACTCTGCTCAGAACTGTGCCATTTGTCATGCACATGATGAAGACAGCTGCTCTGGTGGAAGGCATCAGGCGACTTCCTACAATGGCATGAGTCTGAGGCGCAAGAGCATCGGTCATGTACAGGCTTGGGTTTAGGTGAAAATTCAGGAACTTTGGACAGCAGGAGGAAATATCAAGGTAAAGGGGGTAAAATGCCAAGATGGGACAGAACTAACAGCAACAACAAAAACAACCCAGAGGGACATCTTTAGCTGTGTACCACATCAAAATGAAGCTCCTGAACACACAGCCAGACCCGGGCAGATAGCACCACCAGATCACAACCTACCTCCTGGCTGAGCCCAGAGACAGGCTCAGAATCGCTCTCGCGAAGTCAGCAGGGCTGCCTCATCCAAAAGCGCAGGTTATACGAGGCACAGGCAATGCCCTGGATGGACTTTCAGGGGGGACTGAGATGCTATGGAACCCATATTCCCATCCCAGCCCTCTGATCACAGCAACGACCACAGTCCAACAACCTGCAGTGGTTTGAAATTAAATGCGGTGTCTCCGTGAGCTGGCATCACCCGTTTTTGTCTTTAACGTTCACCAGTGTGTCCTAGGCACTGACTGAGATCTCTAATTACAAAGTTAAATCATACATTTATTTACCCTTGCTTGTTTTAACTGAATTGGCCAGATAGGGAAAGAAACTCTCTGGAAATTGTCATTCATGTGTTCACAGGTCCTCTTTCCAGTCCCATAAAAAAATGGGACATGGACAGCTGTCTATTTTATGTGTTAGAAAATAGTTCTGCTTAGATCCTTGGCTAGTTTGATTTGGTATTCTTGCACCTTGACTGCTAGTAAGAATATTGCAAGGCTTTTTATAAAGGATATCACTTACATTACTAGAACCATAAAAGATACTAAAATAAAGCTATAAACAAAATTATGAATAAAATGTATATAATGAAGACATATACTTACATGATTATTATATGTAAATTATATATTTTAAATCTTTTGGTATTGTTTTTGCAATATGTTTTTTTTTGTTTGTTTGTCTTTAGCTATTTATGATGTTTGAAATGGTAAAAAGTACCCAGAATAAAAATTTGTATTCAAAAAAAAAAAAAGAAAATAGTTCTGCAGGAGAAGAGTCAGTATCTGCCATCCACCTGACTTACTGGGAGAAGGAAATACCGGTAAACGCTCACTGCTACACTGTTAGTCTAAACTCATTATGTCATTTCCTCAGTACAGGAAGTCCTTGTATTTTATGACCCACTGTTTTCCTAGAAACCTCATCAGGGGGTAACCGGGTCACTGTTAAGCAGACTGTGAAAATGAGGTAATGTTCACCTGTCAGACTGAGCCAGATTCAAAAGATTGACACAGTGTGGCTAGAAGGGGTTGCTCACAAACTGTGGAAGGGAGTCAATGTGAAATTGGTAAATAGCTTTTGGAAAAAGCAACTTGGCAATATAAAAAATTCTACAGTGCACACTGTCTAGCAATTGCGTCTCTAAGCACCTCTAGATGCTTATCTTGGAGAAGTATTTATACATGTCCACAAAAAGGAAGGCATACGAATATTCACTGTCATAATACTAAATGACACTACAGATGATACATGACTTGACAGGCTACAAAACTACAGCATGTCTATTCTCTGAGATACTATTTAGCAATTAAAAAGAATGAGATAAAACCAGGTGTATCAGCATGGAAGGCTTTCTGAGATATTGTCAACGAAGAAAAGCAAGGCAGATGAACACTACATGTAATAACTTTTTAAATTATGTTAAAAAACGCACAAAACCAATTTTTGCTTTATATATTTCTCTACATAGGAATACAGTGTGTAAATGCATTCGCAGGACCTAGAAACACACACAGTGGGTCCCAGAGTGGAGGAGACTCAGGGTGGAGATGGAGTGTTCAAAAGGTATTTGTGTTGTCTGTATTTTCATAAGTATGTATTGATGAGTTATTTGGGGAATTAAATTTACATACCTTTTTTTAAAGTTATTCTTTTATTCACATGCTTTCATTTTCTTCCTTTTCTCAAGTCTTGGCAAATGTCTATAATCAACCAGTGTTTAAGGGCACATTTTCCTCAGCCTGATCTTCTACCCATCTATATACAGATGTCCCTTCCTGCACCTCCCCACAGACCTGCCCACATGGGCTATGTGAGGTGGAATAATCACCGGATTTACAGTTCTGACAAATAAATATAAAACTGGAGTGGTAAGGAATTATTTGCTATTTGAATAAATATAAAACTGGAGTGGTAAAATAAATATTCCTTATTACAATATGTTATATAATAAGATGATTCTTATATTATTTAATATAAGAATATAAATGTTATAAGTTAATATAAGAATCATCTTAATATTTTTCTCTATTTTCCAATCTTATACAATGATCATGTCTTAATTATCTAACTGGGAAAAAGTCTAAACCAGTGATCTCAGTGGGGATGATTTTGCCCCCCCGGGGACATTTGGCAACGTCTGGAGACACTTTTGGTTGTCGTAACTTGGGGAGCGGTTGCTACTGGCACCTAGTGGGTAGAGACCAGGATGCTGCTAAACAACCCGCGATGCACAGAACAGCCCCACAACAAAGGGTTATCCAGCCCAAACGTCAACAGTGCCCACGCTGAGAAGCCCTAACCTAAGTACACTGCTCATAAGTAACAAACCCCTACTTATGTTCCACTTACTCACTTTGTTTCTCTGATTATTTAATAGGTGGAGCGGGGAGCCTGGGGTCATACCTGAACAATGAACTGGTAGAGCATAACCAGGCTGACCACCATGGTGATGTTGGCCAACAGGGAGAAGATGGACAGGACTCGGAGGTTTCTGACGAACACCAGAAGCACCAGGAAGGGCAGGAAGGCGAGCATGTAGAGTCTCGAGTCCATGGTGGGCATCAGGATCACCGTCTCGTTGTTGTGGCAGTTGGTGGTGGTCCCATTGGCTGCTTCTATCACCTAGAACGAGGGGAAGAAAAGCTGCAGGGAAAGCCTCTCAAATGACAAAGGCCAGTGGCCCTCCCACCAGAAGGGATTCTTGGCTAAAGGCTCAGCGTGTGAAGAAGGCCACATAGAAAGTTAGTGGTCGATGAACTGTCTCTGGAGATCTTCGTAATTGTTAGCCACCTGAATGTCTGAACTGGATTTGATCACATCTTACCTAAAGACAGGAGGACAGCAAGACATCTTGAGGTTTCTCGATGCCCTGGGTCTCTCTAAAGTATTTTTTTTCTTTTAATTTTCATTTATTTATTTATTATTTATTTTTTGCCACGCCATGCAGCATGCAGGATCTTAGTTCCCTGAGCAGGGATCGAACCTGTGCCCCCTGCAGTGGAACTGCTGAGTCTTAACTACTGGACCACGGGGGAAGTCCCACGCCCTGGGTCTTTAGATAAAATCAAACGACACTGACACTGTTCTACGTAAAGTGTTAAGATCTCAATTCTTGTGTTGAACAAAACTGGCTTGGAAGAGACCCTAAACAGGAAGTCCACTCATCTCTTGCCAGTCTCTCTTTTTACCAGGGCCTACCTGTTTGAAGTTGTCAGCCAGAAAGACAAAATAGACACAGCAGAATCCCAGCTGCGTGACGATTAGGAAGAAGTCCACAGTGTGCCTGCAGGTGGGGAAGGAAGGAAGACAAAGATCGTAATGATAGCAAGCAAGACTGCCAGAGAGACAGGTGTTTGAACAGCGCTTATTCCCAAGTCATCACAGACCCTTCCCATCAGGTGACAAGGATGAGTGTGCCCAGGAAAGAGGAGAAAATGTGCCACGTGCCACTGGTCTAGAGCCTTAGAGGAAGGTGAAGGAGGTGCTATCTGTGTGGTTCCCGAGGTCCCCTTCCTGGCTTCGTGTCAGGAATGCTGCACGCGGTCAGGCAGACTTGAGACAGTCCTGAGACTGCACTGGCCGGGGCGGAGCACATACACCAGGACCACTACCCAGTCCCTTGGCTACCCGCTTCCCATAGCCCGCCTATCCCCTCTCACACTGTTTGTCCTAAAGCTACAGGGAACCCTCAGCATAAAAGCCCAAGAAGTGGACCCCTTCACAGACCTCTTTCTATAACTTGGATCTAAGAACCAACTGACTCTCACATAAGGACACAGAAATTGATGTACCAAAACAGGCTGCTGGTTGAAGCACTGTTACAACAACAGCTGGTAACAACCTAAGGGGTCATCAAAAGGAAAACGATTAAATTATAGGCCATTATGAGATGAAACAGAATACAGCAGATAAAAAGAATATGTTAAATCTGCGTGTGCTGATAAAGAAATGTCTAAGACCTTTAAGGGAAAAAAACAAAACAAGTTTCCAGTCAGTATGCATAGTATGGTAATTAGTGTAAAAAATGTTAAGAATGTGTGTATGTTTGTATATATTCAGAAAATTCCAAAAGAAAACCCATGCAACTGTGACTGGGTTATACTTTTACTCTTCACTTTATGTTCTCCTATCATGTTCCAAAAAAAAAAAATTTTTTTTTAACCACAAGCACACATTAATTTTATTAAAGGAAGGCAGGGAGGGAGGGAGTAAGGAAGGAGGGGGAAGGTATGGGGCTAGAGGGAAAGAGAGGAGGAGGAGAGAGGAAAAAAGAGATGAAGAAAGGAAGAGGAGAAAAGAAGAGAGGTCAAGAAAGAATCAACTAACAACCAACCAACCAACAGTGGTCACTTGGCAATCTGGCTTCTCCCAGGCACAGAAAACGACTTTGCTGAAAGAATTACATAATCCTGCATCACAGGAAGAAGCCGACTATGTGTGAAGGTAAAAGTCTCCCTATGACCACAACAAGGAGTTTTTCTGGAGAACATAACTTTAATGTGATTCAACTTTTTTTTTAAAAAAAGGATTCAGCCCTCGATGTTATCAATTTTCTACATCTACATGTACCGTTTCCTCAAATCGGAAACAAACAGTAGAATATTTCTCTCCAGGCATCTGAAAAGTTACCATAAGGAGAAACTTCCAAACACCTCCCAACCCAGGTCCTGAAACGTCTCTTTCCCTAACAAACCCATTTGTTCTGGCTCACCTCACCTCCTCCTTGAAGCCTTCCTTCTCCTGCCCAGTACCCTGCCCTGAAAGCTCCTATCACGTGCGCTTCTCATCTGCCACTGCGGACAAGAGCGTCTTTAGGGCTCCTCCCTCTCAGGGCTCCTGCGGTGTATTTCTAGCTCATGACTCTCTCTACTGGTATATCCTTTTCCTGATCTCTTGTTCTCAAGATTCCCATGCATCTTTCTCCGTCTATTGGAGTGCCAGGACTACATAATATCCCTCAGGGAAACCCCCCTCCCTATACCTAAAATTGTTTTGTACCACTTATAAGAGTGTGCTTAAATATATCTGTTAACCAAACAAGGGGATGAAATATAATCACTGGTCACAGGCTGTCAAAGCTGGGAGAGCCCTTCAGTATCTTTCAGGGCAGGACCCAAGTTTTACCAATGAGGAAACTGAGGCCCACAGAAAGGAGAGGTCACACAGCCCAGGGTCACACAAATGACCACTGGCAGAGCTAAGCTAGAACTCAAGTCCACAGACCCAAGCAATGCTCTTCTCACGAGCTGCACTGTCTCCCACACCTCACCTCCCTATCCGAAGGCCTCCACACCCGGCGGCCACAGCCGCAAAGAAAAAGGAAACCCATTACCTTCCCCAGTGGGCGTTGTTCCGGAGCCAGGAGATGGGGGTGGCTTCCAGGCCATACATCACCGTATCCCCATAGTCCACAAAGGGCTTGTTCAGTCTGGGAGGAGGGGAGGGAGAGGAAGGGCAGAGTGCAGGGGTCAGACAACGACAACAACAGAACAAACACAGCTCACGGGAGACCTGGGCCGGTTCCCCATCAGCCACCTTAGACATACCGCTGAGTCCTGGGTCTGATGCTTTCAAGGAGCAGAAGTCTTATGTCAATGGGACGATTACTTCCCTTATAATTAACAACCATCTGGTAAACCTTTTCAATGGGGTAAATATTACAAAGCACGTAAAACCAGAATGTGGTCTCTGTCCACTGGATATAAGTAAGTGCGACAGATGACAGCAAGCTAAAAAAGAACACAAAAATCGCCAGGGAAAGGCAGTGCTGCGATGACTAGCAGCCACCTTCAGCCGGCACAGAGTCCAGAGTGATCTGTGTTAAGTGCTCACTTTCAGTGTTGGCAACGGAACCCCAAAGGACAATCTGTCACTCGAGAAGTGGCTCGGAGGGCTCTCACCTGCGGCAGAAGTGGTGAGCGCACTTCACCAGGATACCCATGCAGTGCACAGCCACGAGGCCTATCACCAGCAGGCTGAGGGGACCCATCTGCAGACAGGCGTTGTGGGTAAGAGGGGGAGAGACAAGCAGACAGAATTAGAACTGGATTTGCAAATGATCAAAACTTTACTAGGGAACCTTCCAATGACAGAACTTCCGGCAGAGCTTTCGAGAGACAAACGTGCTCACAGAGGTGAGCTGAGTAGGACGGGCATCATCTGAACCTCAGCAGGCCTTCTAGAGAATTAATCTCCCGGAGGAGAATGACACAAGATAAGGCTATTCCGAGACTGTTGCCAATCGGCAGAATAGAAGGCTCCTGGGACTGTCTGGGAAGAAGAGACAGGCTAAGGGGTGGTGGAAGTGGGAGAGTTCTCTCCAGAGCAATGCCACAACACCATCCTTAGCGGAGGACAATCCCCGTCTCTAAGCTTCTCCAACTTTAAAAGAAACCAGAATGGCTTTGGATAGGCAGCCTATAGGGGGAGAATCATGAAAGGAAAAAAATAAGATTCTCAGAGTTGGCCATCTAAGGGTAGGGCATGGAAGGACTGTGTAGAAAATGGACAGACTTCTGCTACTAACTCATTAGTTAATATTATTGACAGAAACTTCCAGAAACTTTTCAAGTACCTCCTCCTCGCCTCAAAGTAAGCTCCATGAGGAAAGGAATCATCGTCTGTTTTTATTCACTGATAATATTCTAAGAGTCTAGAACAGTGCCTGGCACACAGAAGATCCTCAATAAATATCTTTAGATGATATGTATATGTATAACTGATTCACTTTGTTATAAAGCAGAAACTAACACACCATTGTAAAGCAATTATACTCCAATAAAGATGTAAAAATATATATATATATCTTTAGATGAATGAACACCTGAACTTTGCTTTCTCTCAACTGAATTTGAAAAAGAAAAGCTTCCCATTTTAAAATGTTTTCCATGAAGTAAATTAAAATAAAACCACTGTCTCCTAAAATGTGTCACAATACTTCCTTGCACCGACACAGACCCTTACCAAGATGCCTGCATTTTTCACGGCCAGAGGCAGCCCCAGGAGTCCTGTGCCAATGTTGCTTTTTAATAGGTGGATCAGGGTCTGGAACCATCTGAAGTGGGAAGAAGGCAGACAAGGGCATGTTAACAATAATGAGAGCTAGCATTTACTGAGCACTTAGCACTGTGCTAAGTGCCTTCATGAGTTATCTCATTCAATTTCCACAACAACCCTATGAGATAGGTATTAACTTCACCTTATGCATGAGGGAGCAACTTGCTCAAGGCCACGTACCTTGAGTGTGAGCCTAGATTCAAACCCAGGCTGTCTAGCCCCTGAGCCCACTCTCTTAGTCACTGGGCTATAAACTCTGTTCCCTGAAGCATCTGAAAAGTCCACCTCTCTTGGAGATTAGATCAGAGGGACAGTGGGGGTCTGCAGTCCCTGGTGTACTTTTTATTAAAAAAAAAAAGTCAAATGCCCAAGATTGGAGAAGCCCTCTTCACACAGTCACCTAGTTTATCCTTCTGCCTTGAGGACACAGTTTTCCCTCATCTGTTGTACAGACTGTGCACCTGAAGCTGCAACTGTAAAGTCTCTCAAGTGTCCTCATTATGTTTTCACTCAACAAATACCATCTATAATGTGTAAAACATTGTGTTAATGCAATGGTGGAAATCAGCATGAACCAGATACGGACCTCAGTCTCTAGAAGCTAATAAAAGTCTCCAAGGAGATAAAGTGGACACGTTAACAACCACCCAAGGTAGAAAGATCCCTGTCCTAGGAAGAGTCCAGGAACAGTGCCCAGGGAGGGGCAGGGAGGTGAGGGCTTGTAGCGTGCAGAGACCTGGGCTGAGCCCAGCTGGGCCCTACGTAGGGCTCTGTGTGTGTGCCAACAGGGAAGAAGAGTCTGGGAACACTCGCCCAGACACAGGCGTGAGCACCAACACAGAGGAGTGCGTCACCTCTGTGGCCGCTCAGGTTGGGTGAGGGTGGGCATTCCATACAGAATGGGAGCTCCTCAAAGGACTTACGTCAGTGGCCTCATCTTTAGCATTTTCCATCCTCTGTTACTCCAGCAGGATACGGAAAAGATCAAACATGGTACCACAGACTTAATCAGGATTTGGCCCCTGGCACTGTCTGGAAATTCTTCTGTGCAAATAACCTAAATACGTCATAAATGATGCTTCCACATATTTCTTCAAATCTGCAATTCAGTAGAAACTGAAAGCAAGTCATGTGTTAACTTGTAAAGACCGTAATAAATAAGACCCATCTACACTCTCTGGAAAGGAATTTTACTTTCGGTAACCTTTCTCCCTCTATCTCCAGGAAGAAAATCTCTTGACCTTCCTACCGTCTCCCAAGCTTCTCAGGCAAGATGAAGAAAACTGCTTCAAGTCTGAATGAGAAGAGGCAAGCGCTCTCCTGGATTAAACTAAAGGACAGTAAGGGTCCAGGGGTGACTCATTCATTATCAGTGGCCAGTGACCAGGAGATTAAGTGCAGGGTGATGGACTAAGCAAATTTCTATCTTGGCAAATGTTTAATCCACTTAAGGGCAAAGATAAGCACTGTATCAAAACCACCTGCCTACCAGAGGCCTCCCCAAAATGCCTCTGAGCTGGGTTTCATGGGAGATCAGGTCCCTCCAGCCCTGGCTCTGCCATTAACTCCATATGGCAATTCCCTTCCCTTCTCCGGTCCTGTTCTCTCATCCGTAGAGTGAGGGGACTGGACCAGAACAGCATACCTCAGCTCTGAAACAGCAGGGTTCCAGGCAATTGACCAAAATCATGCTTTTTAATCAATGGCCATGAGCTGGGATTACCCAAACCCATATGACCTATCACAAAATCAACTCCATGGACTGCAGAGTCTTAACTGCGGAGGGTGGGAGGGAGAAATAAGCCTCACAAATCTCTGTCGTCTCTTTACCCTCCAAATCTGTTCTTGTATACTTGTTTGGTCTTAGGTCCCCTTTATACACTTATGAATTATTGAGGATCCCAAACAGTTTTTGCTTATATGGATTATGTCTGCTGACATATATTATATTGTAAATTAAACCAAGAAATTTTAAAACATTTATTAATTTAAAATAACAATAAACCTATTACATGTTAATATAAATAACCAATTTTTAACAAAAAGTAACTCTATTTTCCAAAAAGTATAATGTGAGAAGAAGGACACTGTTTTACTTCTTTGCAAATCGCTTTAATGTCTTGTTTGACAGCTGGACTACCTACTTCTGCATTCGAGCTGTTGTGATATGTTGTTTTGGTGGAAGTACCTGAAGAAAATCTGTCCTCACACAGACATGTAGTTAGTATGTATCTTAATAGCCTCTTCTGACAATTGTGATAATTTTTCTTTGATACTACACCAAAACTCGACACATGGAGTTTCTTAGAAGTTAGCTGTAATGTGGAATCTGACCTTTTCATCCTCTCTTACATGAAAACGCACTGGTAATCTTGCTCCTTGGATGGATCTTTTACCCACACACAATTTTCTAACATCGCCCTTTGGTCATCTGGGAAGATAGTGATTCCCTGAGCTATGTGGATCTTCCAAATGCTGGCACATTTCATTATACGATATCAAAAAAAATCACATTCATTAATATCATTCCTAATCTTATCAGAAAAGTCTTTGAGTAGAGGGAAGCTGTCAAGGTCACAGTGCTGGATACGAGTTTTTTTTTTTCTGATTTTGCTCGAAAGCTCAAATTTCATTGTGGGCAACAAATACTACTGATTGTTTTTCTTGAGGTGACGGTCTCATTACTGCCATTTTCAAGAAAATGTCTGCCAAGTACTCAGGTCTGAATGACCTATACTTTGTTAGTTGTTCAGTAGAAGTATTGCATGTGTACTTTCCATTTTGTCACACAGAATATTAAAAGACCTGTACCGAAGGGTCAAGATTTAACAAAATTAGTAATTTGACTGCTTCATCAAGGACGTGCTTAAGTGAAACCGGCTTATTCTCTGTATACGTATATGTGTGACAGTGAGAAATACGATGACAAGCATAATTTGGTGCCACCGCCTTGATTTCCACTAAGGCGCCAGCAATTTTACCCATCATTTCTTCTGAACTATGAGTGCAAATGTCAACACAGTGAAAAAACAAATCACATCTTAGTAGTATTATGAAAACAGTTTTGACTTCGTGGGCTTCTTAAAATGGTCTTGGGAGCCCTAAAGGGTCTGAAGACCATACTTTGCAAGTGGCTGCTCCAGATAACCTACAGAAGACCAGTTTCAGTCAACTGGTTTCTCAGCCTGCCAGCCTAGAGAAAAAGTATCAAAGCCTGATCAAGAGCAGTATAATGTAGCTCAATAGGGCAACAAGAAAACGTTGCCCAAAAGAGTAAAAAATGAGGCTGTCATCAAAGCAGTCGACAGCTTGATAACATTCAAGTGTTAGGAAATACCCTCACCAAACACATCATCATGGAAGCATCTGGGGTTCCTATTTGCACCCCGATTAGGGGTTTTTACTGAGCCCTAAACCCTTAGAAGAGCCTGGTGTGTACATGCTTTTTGTACATGGAACGAAGTACATATACTTTGCTTCTTGTACTTTGTTCCATGTACTTTTTCCATATTCCCTGGCGGTCCAGTGGTTAGGACGCCACGCTTTCACTGCCAGAGCCCGGATTCAATCCCTAGCTGGGGAACTAAGATCCCGCAAGCCTCGCGGCCAAAAAAAATAATGACAAAAAAAAGAAAAGAAAAAATAAATATGAAAATCTAGACCCCATACGGCAAGCACTGCATAGACAAGCTGATGCCTAAGAACAAGGAGCAAAAACTGGAAAGGAAACTAGAGAGAGAGAAGCTTGGAAGAAGTATTTCACAGTAACAAGAGTGACTTCGGAAGGGAAGCTATCAAATGTCATTGGCTGCATCTGACACTCCTTCCACCTGGGGGAAGCCAATTAGGTAGGTAAGGTTAGGGAAAAAAGAGGAAAGACAGTCCTCACTGCTGCCAGTTGTGGTCTTAGCAATATTTTCCATCAGCTAACACTGCAAGCAAATGGGGGAATCTAAAATAGCATGCCACAGGAGAAAGAAGTTATGGAGGCTGAATCTTTATGAGCAGAAAACCAGCTAGAGGTGGAGAGGGGCTTATAACGTGGGCCAACCATCTCCTCTAGTTCTGAGTTCACTAGGGAAAATGCCCTGCACTAGGAGAGATTGCAGCTAGGCGGAGCTTCACCAGTAATGAACTTCAAGAGAAGCTTCCATGGTCTCCTTGGGTAGTCACAGTGGGACAGTGTGAGTCAAGAACGTAATGGATCCCTCAGTTAAGTCACACCCAACCCACAAGGGAACACAGAGCAGGTGATGGCAAAGCTTGAGGAATAAAGAGAAGGGCTGCAAAAGATGGAATGCTGGGGTCCAGAGAAAATGTCGGGGCTCTGCTGACTTTCAGAACTGAGCCAGACAACTCAGTGGAGTAGAAAACCCTCCTCTGAATCTTTTCATTTGAACAGTGAGTCGGTATAGCTTCACGGGGTAAGGGGTCCTCAATTTTATCTTACATTTGGAAAAACTGAGGCCATAGAGGGCCAAACTCACCCAGATGAGACTTGGAATTCAGTTTCCAGGGGTAAGACTTAAGCCCTCCCAAGGGCATGCAAAGCAGATCACCTTTAACAAGCCCTTGAGTGTTTTAAGGGCAGGAGAAGTTATTCCTCCCTCTTCCTACTTCTTCCGCCAAATGTCCCAGTTGATTGGTGATGGGGACGGAAGTCTGGGGGAGACTTTGCAAAGGAGGCTTCCAATTGGACTTGGAGGCATTTAAGGTTCTAGCACAGACGACTCATGGCTCTAAATTAAGAGAATGTTCTCTCTAGAAGTTTTTCTGATGTTCAGGCTCTTACTCGGCACCAGCCTTCTGGGACCACACAGGTGAAATGAACAAAGAATAAGAAACAGACTAGAGAGTGGCAGACAAGAAGCGCAAATCTTAGCACCATTACTCACTCAATCTCTTTACCTCTTACTTTCACCTGTAAAGTAGGGAACTGATAAAAATAGGGGAGCAAAAATAACTCTAATGGAGATTACGTTACTAATACAGAATTTAGGAATACGAACCCCACCCGGGAGGGTAGACAGGAACAGCTACTTACGTTGTGCTGTTGCTTTCCCCGAACCGCTGGTAGGATCCTGGGGAAGAGAAGTTGTTCAGGCCTTCAGATGGACTCTCCTCCGGGCTCACGTCGGTGGAGCTGTAGTCACGGTAGTCCTCGTTCCGAAGTCTCTGCGTGGACATGGTAACTGGGGGGACAGGGGCAGTGCTAAGACCTCCAGTGGCTGGGGCCTTTAGCTCCAAGCCTGGAGTCGGCTCTGGGGCAGAAGCAGCCATTGCCACAGTAGCTCAGTGACAGCTGCACTATGGATTAAGTACAATGACGTTGCCTGATACCAAGAGAAATGAAAAAGGTACAAAGTACACATGGGCGGGCTGAGCTCTCTTGGCTTCTCCCTCGCAACCTATCTAGTCGGTGCCACACTCATAAGATTCTAAATTTGCCCGCACATCTGGACAGAGCAAAGGTGAGGCACGGCTTGGGAGGGATGGGGAAAGACGCAGACAGGCACTTCTAGGCAGCCTTTCCCATTCCTTAGGTTGGGATTAACGACCCCTTCCTTTGAGGTAATTTCTTGGACCCTGAACAATACTGACATTGTATCTACATCCACCTTCCCCAAGAGCAAGCTCTCAGAGGATGGGAACCTAAATATTCCTAGCTGTATTCTATTTTTCCTCTGCATTCGGTCCAGAAAGAGCCTCTTCTGCATTCCAGAAATCCCTTCTAGATCATCTAATTCTGCTCAAACTCGCCACCAGGCCCCAGAGCCACAGATGACCTTTTCTTTCTCTCTGCCGTGATTTCTGGTATGTCCTATACTCTTTGGAGGTCATCAGTGATGCTCATTCCCTCATCCTAGGACTCTTTTCTTGCAACCAGCCTGCATACTGAGAAATGGCAGCTGAAAGCAGCACAAAGGATGACCAGGAGCATAAGACATGCTCACCACTGGCCCTTGTAGCAACATCTCCCCGCCACAACCCTTCTCCTTTTTTTGCCAATTTTTCAAAAGCTGGTGAAAGAAGAAACCCTTCCTATTGTGTGCTGAGGAAGGATGGTGAGGGTGGTGTCCCACGAGTGGAGTTTTTAATAATTATACACCAGAAAAGAGAAATACAAGGACTTCGCTAAGATACACTATAAGGATACATTTTGAGAGCTGTGTAGGCTCCCAGAATCCTAGAGACGGTTGCTAAAAGGGCCTTCGGAGGTCACACCAAACTACTCATTTCACAGATGAAGGATCGTTCCCCCAAAAGATGAAGGGACCTGCTCTGCTACAGACAGGTAGCACCAAGCCGTAAACATACATCCTGACGCCCTGCCTAAATCTGGAAACACCTACTGAATACACTGCCAGTTGCAGTGATGGAATATCATAATGAAAGAGAGTCAACTTCCTCCAAGAATCCGCAATCAAGTAAGGAAGAAAAGGCTCATGAACATTAAAAATTACCAATAAAAATCCTTCTGACACTTGGCAGACTGGCACAACCAGCTGCCTATAAGGGGCTCTCCCCCAGCACGTGGCTGGATGCCCATCCTTAGTCTGATGTGCTATCTCAGATGCCTGGTGAGGAGACAGGACCTCTGATGGCCATCACAACACACCGTCCCGCCCAGCACCCATCACTAGCTGCCAGAGGATAGACAGCTCTGTGTCAAGTGCTCCCAGAGGTCCAGTCCCAAGGGACTCTTTGGAAACTGACCCCACCTAGCACCTGAGTGATCCAAGGTTGATCTCATTTTCTCCCACCAACTATAATGGAGGAAGGACCCCACGTAATCTCACGAGGAAAGTGCTTCCAAAGCCAGTGAAGGGCTTGGAAGTCCCAGAGAGGATCCTGCCTCACTTCACCACCAGAGCCGACTTTGCTAGATATCTAAGTCAGCATCATTTACTCACATGGTGGAGGAATTCAAGGAAGTCATCTAAGCTCTGGGGCAATGAAATTCATAAGAGGGCCAGGAAACAAAATATCTATTTAGTATCTCAATATGAACAGTTGAAAGCTGCTATTCAGGCAAAAGCAATTAAATTCATTTCTATGAATGTCAGAAGGCTTGGGTGCTAAAGCTGCCTCTAACACCAGTTTGCTCAGTAGCCTGGAACAATTCTCCTTATTTCTCTCGGGTCTTAGTTCCACATGCTCAAAAAGACGGGGGTGGGGCTTCCCTGGTGGCACAGTGGTTGGGAGTCCGCCTGCCAATGCAAGGGACGCAGGTTCGTGCCCTGGTCCTGGAGGATCCCACATGCCGCGGAGCGGTTGGGCCCGTGGGCCATGGCCGCTGGGCCTGCGCATCCGGAGCCTGTGCTCCGCAACGGGAGGGGCCACAGCAGTGAGAGGCCGGCGTACCGCAAAAAAAAAAAGGCGGGGGTGGGGGGTACGGTGTACTAAACTATTGCTCTAATATTCCAGGAATCAATTAATGCAATTCTTTATGCAAACAGCAGCTAATTTCTAGTCTCTTCCAATACACCAAAAGCATCTGAGGAACAGCGCCTTCCAGGTGAACCCTGCATATTACTGAGGGAGAGGGACAGAAAACAGGCACTGACAAGTTCCCCAATCCCTCCCCATCAACCAAAAACCACTCTTGCTTACTTGGTACAGACGCTCAATTTATTTCAAACACTGTAAAGAGGCCTCTTTATGTTGTGACCCACAGCAGATTATCACTAAGAAAACTGCTCAGAAAGAAGCTGAAATCTACAGATCAAAAGTCCAATGAACAACTGCAGGATGTGGAAGATGTGGCTTGGCAACTGTGTGCATGTTGAAAAAGGAAAAAAAAATGCTACTTATGGGTTTTAGTTGATAAGCTCAACAGAAATCAATGATATCATAATAGATGCCAATTCAACTAATGCAATTTTTGGTTGCACTACAACAAGAGAGAACCCCAGGGAGATGACAGACTGTTCTTTTTTGCCATACCTTGTACTCTGTTCCAGGCAGCATGCTATAAAGGGGATAATGATAAACTGTGGTATAGCCAGGGGTCAGCACCAAGGTCATGAGGGGGAAGAAAACCAGCTAAATGAAGAATGGTTGGAAGCCCTGAGAAGTTTCAACCTGGAGAACTGGCAACTCGGGAGGTAAAAAAACTGTGTTTAAAATCTGTCCTAGGGGTCAGATTTGTTCTGTGGAGCCTCAAAGATTACTCAGATACAGGATCAGTAGGTGGAAAGTAAAGGGAGGCAGGTCCTTGGCTAGACATAAGACAACTATCAAAAGGAGTTGTCCAGAGCTTCCCTGGTGGCACAGTGGTTAAGAATTCACCTGCCAATGCAGGAGACGTGGGTTCGAGCCCTGGTCCGGGAAGATCCCACATGCCACGGAGCAACGAAGTCTGTGCACCACAACCACTGAGCCTGCGCTCTAGAGCCCATGAGCCACAACTACTGAGCCTGCATGCCACAACTACTGAAGCCCGTGCGCCTAGAGCCCATGCTCTGCAACAAGAGAAGCCACCGCAATGAGAAGCCCGCGTACCACAACAAAGAGTAGCCCCCGCTCGCAGCAACAAAGACTCAATGCAGCCAAAAATAAATAAATAAATTTATTTTTTTAAAAAAAAGGGAGTTGTCCAAATGGATCGCTCTAGGAGATAGCTCCTTATCCCTGGAAAGATCCAAGCAGAAGCCCCTCTCAGAGCTGCTAAGCAGGAATTGAAGCACTGTAGAGGGTGGGTGCAATCACTCCCTGGAGTGCCTTCTAGGGTTCTTTCTGGCAACCAAGGCGTCCTCCTCTTCTCTCTAGCTGTCCCCACTGAGTGCAAGCCTCCGTGGACACCTTGCCTTGGGCTCTCTGTGATGAAATCTGGTTTCTACTGTCTAGTGCTATAATTGCCATTTCCTGCCCTGTGGGAGATTTTATTAGACCCTGTTAACTGTCTAAATGAGTATGGACAGTTAATATTTAAGAGTTGTAATATTTAAGAGTTCAAGACCAGCTCTTCCTTCAGGTTCTTGAGGACAACGGACAGAGTTTATACAATATGTGTGGCCCATCAACACAAAGTAAAATCTCCATAAGATATTTAGATTCAAAAGAGTGTACTAAGGGACTTCCCTGGCAGTCCAGTGGTTAAGACTCCACCCTTCCAGTGTAGGGGGCGCGGGTTTGATCCCTGGTCAAGAAACTGAGATCCCACATGCCACGTGGCACAGCCAAAAAAAAAAAGTGTACTACATAAGAAAAGTCTGCATGTTTACTGGCAAACATATATATGTATATATTGTTTTTTTCAAGTGTACATTCAACCAAAATTGCATTGAAATACCAACTATTTGTATAACCCTGACAAATTTCCTTATATAAACTATTTTTAATTAATCAATATTCTCATTATTTTAAGGTTTTTTTCCACTTATTTTATATCTACTCTTCCTTGAATCTACACAGTACACACACTGATGATCTTTAGTTGTAATATAGTAATATAATGGTCCATCATTATATTAATAAAATAATTTGCTTCACTAGCTCCCAACTGTTGGCTTTTGAGCTTTTTTTTTGGACTATCTTACATCATACCTAAAAAAATTCCTACAAATAGTGTCTAGTTTTCAAGTCATATCCTTGGAGTAGAGCTAGATAAATAGGCTTTTCTATGGTTATCACCATACAAATGACTGAACTAACATACAGTATCACTAGCAATATATGGACATGCCTATCTTTTCATAACCCTGCCAACTTTGGATTTTATCTTTTTTTTTTTTTTGGGCCACACTGTGCACACAGGTTGTGGGATCTTAGTTCCCTGACCACGGATTGAACCTGGGCCCCAGCAGTGAAAGCACTGAGTCTTAACCACTGGACTGCCGGGGAATTCCTGGATTTTATCATTTTTATTTTTGCTATTTCTGATGAATGGGTGGCTCCTTGTATTTATTTTATTTTATGTTTCTTTAATTTCCAACAAAGACCACTGATAATAAAAACTGTAAGAGCATCTTTCCCTCACCTACCAGACTCATACTTTTGGAAATACTAAACTCATTTTTGAACTTACTTTTGAATATACTAAAATGTTCTCAAGATAGCTATTTAAGACTTAGTGATTAAATTCTATTCCAAATTCAGTACAATAAACAAGATAAATTCCAATAACGGAAGGAGAATCCATCTGTATGAGTTTGTAGGTCTCTTTCAGGGCACACGGGAAGGTCAGGGA